GATATGGACACAAGATGTGTGCAAATGCAATTTAGTTTCCTATCCATGTGGACATGATTTAAGTGGGGGGTGGACCTAGCCTGCTTTAGGGGGGTCCGGGGGCATGCTCCCCTGGGAAGATGTTTTATTTTTAATATTGAAGTTAAAAGCATCAATCTGGTGCACTTTGAGAGCAACATTAAGAGATCTATGGATACATCTCTCAACACCCATATGAAACAGAAATGGGTGGCTGCAGCTTAACATTGTGGAGGACGAGGGGCTGCGTTAGATAATTCGGATCGCATCCAACGTGTCGACTGCACATCACAGCGCATTATTTTGACCCACAGTGGGAACGTCTCATGCTTTGACTGAAGATGAAGACAGAGGAGCGGCATTTCGCCGACAACTGTAAACAGGCTTGTCTGTTTGAGCAACTGGCTCAGTGCAGAGAACTATAGACAGGGTTGGGAGAGAGTGTAAGAGAGAGAGAGGTTCCAGGTTGTTGTATTGAAAATATTCAGGAGAATATTTGTCATTGTTCAGAGGTTGTTGTGTTGAGAATATTCAGGAGAATATTTGTCATTGTTCAGAGGTTGTTGTATTGAAAATATTCAGGAGAATATTTGTCATTGTTCCAATGATAATAAACAAACATTTGCATAAAGCATATTTGTCCACTCATATGTTGATAAGAGTATTAAAAACTTGAAAAATATTCCTCTAAGGTACATTTAGAACAGATAAAAAATGTGCGATTAATTTGCGATTAATCGCGATTAACTATGGACATCATGCGATTAATCGCCATTAAATATTTTATCTTATTATAGATATATTATAATTTAATCGACTGACAGCCCTATTATTAATAACAACATTTTTTTTACTGTCATATAGTATTTTATACCTGTTTTTCATTTATTCTCTTATTTTTTATAAATATAATGATCATATAAAGGTGTGCCTTTACCTCACTGAGCTGAGGTTATCAGCCTCTCAGTCTGACAGGAGAGAGCTCTCTTCCACCTGGTTGTAAAAGCTCTTTATATCCGTTAGCATAGCTAGCTAACCAGATGCTAATAACAACAATCCCCGGTACAGTACCGCTCTCTCTCTCGCTCGCTCACACAAAATACGCTCGTGCCACACACACAGAGCCGAGCTTGAGTGACACACAAAGACCCAGAAGTAGTTGTACTGTAATGTAGCATATTATTTCTATGGCGTTATTGTATGATCAGTATGACAGATGAACAGATTCCACTGGGCTTACAACTAAAGACACAGTCACGCAAAAACTGCGGCATGTGTACGGCTCCTTATGTGTATACTGCAATTGTTGAAGTGCTGGAGCGGCATTCGGGTGCGCTCCGGCAGCACTACACCACGTGATGACACGTTACGCTCGTGTTGTGTTCAAGGAACCTCTCCTTGGTCAGGAAAAACAGGCAGTCGTGTGTTTAATTCTATTGCGGTCTAGATTTCTTAAATTTGTTTGCGTGTTTATAAATTACCTCGAGGGCCGTATCAAATGGTATCGCGGACCATATACGGCCCGGAGGCCGGAGGTTCCCCACCCCTGCCCTAAAGGAATACCCTTTCCGTAATTTTTTAAATGTCGTTGTGTTTTCTGAAATGCTCTAGTGTTTTCTGAAATACTGTAGTGTTTTGTGAAATGTTGTTTTGACTGGCACTTCAGAGCCACCGTAAATATGGTCTTTATTTACATTAGCAAGCATCGCTAACACTCAGAGCTAACGCTATACTGGAGAGAATATGTGTAAAGAAGCAAGATATAAAAAGGTACTGTTCTTGTGGTAAACCCGCGAGAGAGAAAGAGTTTGAGCTCCATACTGTTTCAGAAATAATCCTTGATGTGGTTTGGAACATAATATGGCGTTTAATCATGGCATCGTTTAGCTGAGTTTCTGCTGGTAGACAGCCTTCTCTTCACAGAGCTCACTGCTTGCATGCAGCAGCTCCAAAGGGGCGTGGTCAGCAGCAGCTCGGTTACATTTAAAGGGCCAGACACAGAATCAGCACTTTAGTAACAGGGCTGAAATAGAGGGGTATGAGGCATGCTACAATGGGTGATCTGTTTGGTATTTTGAGCAAAACACTAAAGAGACATGTTTTGTATAGATATGGCCCTATAATAGATTGTTCAAATATAACATAATAAGTGAGCTTTAAAGGGAATCACAGATGTATTATCACAAAATAAGTGTAATACATCTGAACAACAAAAAGGACCACATAAAACTGTATTCATGTATATATATTTATCATTTTCATTTAGGCAGACAATTTTGAGCGTTGGGTTTAACAGCCTACTGTAACAAGTTGTAATTCTTCCTGAAAAAAATAAGCGTTAATAAATAAATGAATAATATAAAGGCATCAACAGGTCCGCTCAGCAGGACTCAGAATAACTACAGAGAGCAGGGTTATTAATGTGCAGTGCAGGTGTGTGTGGAACAGGAACACACTGCTGCTGCTCTGGCATAGATAACTGTGTCTTTTAGTAGTAGTAGTAGTAGATCAGCGAACATGTCTGCAAACCCAAACTCCATCAAAACTCTCTGCAGTGACTGACACAGTCGATCCAGATGTATCAGCTGTCGCTGTCATCACAAACAGAAGTCGCTTAACGTGACGTCTCATTTAGTGGGAATGCTGATACAGCATTCCAGTTATGCTACGCACGAAAAGTTTATTATTCCGCCGGCTTATTTTGCCGCGCTTCTCCTCCCACATTCCACATCGCAGAAACTCCGTTCAAACATCAAAACGTTCAGCTCGGTCGGGAATCGATGGCTATTACTTTTCTCATTCATAACTTTCATAATTCCAGAGATATATCCCATAATTCATCAAATTTTTTACATTTGAACTTTAATATTGCACAGCTCGTTAAGGCAGAGTGCGTGATGTCAGAGTTAGAGTGGAGGACATTTTGAAATTTGCCTTCATATTTTTTTTTAAAACTGCCATAATTCCCAAACCCTACATTCCTGAGACATCATTTTTCATGACAAACGTAGGAAAACATCTCGTAGCTTGAAAAATGACAAATAATTAAGCAAAAATAATTAAACAAAATGCCTCTTGAGGGCATGAAGTGACAAAAACGTTCAACATGCCTCCATTAAAACCCATTGTAATTTCAGGCTGATATTTCCTCACGGTAGCAGCCGCACACCTTTAGTTAATCTGCCAAAAAGGCCACATTATTAACCCGAAAGAACACACAAATTACACTTCAGATACTTAACTTCCTTGACATGCTTCACGTTTTGAAATTTCGACAAAACTTTCACATGTAAGAGGTTTATCTCTCATTCAGAACAATGGAAACCTTTGATCTCTGCACACCTCGTTAGCTCAAATATAAACACCTGTGTTAGGGCTGTGCAATTAATCGTATTTTAATCGCAATCACGATTTTGGCCTGCCACAATTACGAAAACAACATAATCGAAAAAAACGATTATTTGGCTTTGCTAGGTTGTGACAGTGCACTGCAACATATTTGATCTAATTTATTTTTATTTATTATATTAATATATGTTTAGTAGTTTGTGGAAGTGCGCTCCAAAATATTTGTTGATCTTGTTTATTGGTGTTTATTATTTTTGATATTATTTATTTAAATTTAAATATAAATGTATAATTTATTTTATTTATTTTTGTATTGGTTTTTCAGTTGAATTATATGTTCAGGGTAATCAACAGTTAAAAAGATACTGTTCAATAAATGGATGTTTTCAAAGTCAATGAATAATCGTATTTAATAATCGTGATATCAATTATTGACCAAAATAATCGTGATTATGATTTTTGCCATAATCGAGCAGCCCTAACCTGTGTCATGAAACACGATGATGTCATAACACACAGGTGTTCGTGTTTGAGCTAACGACGTGGTCACTGGAGTTTAACAGACTGTCTGAGCCTATTCTTTTCTGTCTGATGGAGACTTCATACTGACTTCAACATGTTCCACCTATTTTATACATTATTGGTGACACACAGCTGTCGTCGTTAGCTCAAATATAAACACCTGTGTCATAGAACACGATGATGTCACATTGACAGGTTTGGTAACGATGCAGCCATCAACGCATCTAAGCGTATTATGGGGTGTCATCCTATGCCGTTGCCATGGCGACACAATGCTCGCCATGAAACACGGTTTTCTCATAACTTCAGTGAAAATGCTCCAAACGGCCCAAAACTTCACAGGTTTGGTAACGATGCAGCCATCAACGCATCCAACCATATTATGGGGTGTCATCAAATGCTGTTGCCATGGCGACATACCACTCGCCATGAAGCACGATGTCGCTGTAAGTCCAATGGACACGGTCCGATCGTCCCCCAAACTTCGCTTGTATATCACCGGTCCAGCCCTCAACAGCTCTACGTCAATTATGGGGTTTCTTCAAATGCCGTTGCCATGGCAACACAATGCTCGCCATGAAACACGGTTTTCTCATAACTTCAGTGAAAATGCTCCAAACAGCCCAAAACTTCACAGGTTTGGTAACGATGCAGCCATCAACGCATCTAAGCGTATTAAGGGATGTCATCAAATGCCGTTGGCATGGCGACAGATCATTCGCCATCAAGTTAGTTCAAAAGTTTGCAGTTCAAATATTCTGCTGCTTTTCCAAGCCTTTTTACTTTCTTTTCTTCTCTCATCACACATTCAAGCCCCCAGTGTTCATGTATCATTTCAATCTAAATTCTTCACTTTCTTCTTACACATTACATTTCAGCATAGCAGTTTAGCGTCAGCTTTTCAGCATAAAGCATTCCCACTAGCAATTTCTTCAGGAATTGCATTCTCTAGTTGCTCTTAAAACACATCTCCTTTCTTCCTCTCTCTTCAAGTGGTGGGAGCACCGGGAGGGACTGACGCAAGTGAGGGGGGCAGGGATGCAAGTTAAGCGACTTGTACCCCCATGGATGTATAATAAGAACAGGTACCCCCGGACTGACGGGGACTGTGCGCTTTAACAAACTCCAGGAGATGGCAGTACTGCAACACGAAGAGCTGTAGAGGAAGTGACGGAATTACGTTGGGTAACTTCCTGTACACTCAGGGTCCGGTCCGTTGCGCAAATCGTCCGCTGTTCTGGTTTAGAAGGCCAAATAGCAACATTTCGGTAAGTTCAAACCACTTAAAATGCATACATGTTATTTCTTTCAATTTGAATTGAAAGAAAATTGAATAGTGAATGTTTTATTATTTATATTGAAATGATTATAATTACCCATCATTCACCTTACACGACCTTTGAGCAAAAGTCCTTGACAGTATGAGCTCTCGCTTCTTACGTCGACGTTAGCTAACCGGTGAGATTTACTCTTCCCTCACTAAACACACACACAGTCTGACTAAACTCACCGTTTGATCCACTTATTGCCCACAAAACTGCTGGGATTAACTGCCCGGTGTCACTGGGTTATTCTGTGCGTGCTTTGCAAAATACTGTAGACTAACATCAGCTAAACATTGGACATGTTACATAGGTTAGCTAGCAATATTTGCATCTGGGTAAGCTGAGGTCAATGATTCCCGGTTTAGTATGTAGAGTTCTGTGCCTCAGAATATGACTTTGTACTAAGTAAGACAATGCTATCACGTTAGCAGCTGAGAAACGCTAAGGTTACACCATCGCTCAGAGCAGGACATGTTTATGAGGGTCTTTTTGAGTGAGTGTTTAGGACAGATGGAGTATCCTTCGGACTAAAGGCTACAGTAACGGTTAACATAAACTAGGGTTCTGATGATAGCCCAATGTAGAACAATGTCACCGTTAAGTGTCTGTCAGAATCAACCTAGCGCTGTTTGGATTCTGACAGACATCTGGGAGAAGAAAGAAACTGTTAACCTCTAACACGTAGAAACTGTTATCCTTCAAGTATATTATATAATGTATGTAAGTATACGATAATGCTTCCATGCTTTTTCTGAACTGTGTCTCATCGGTAATGTGTGTGATTTCAGCATTGAAGACGTGATGGCTGCAACCCTGCGTTCCCTTTACTCTGTGTCAAGGCCAGGTAAGGGTCTCTTCCTCTCCTCCCCTCCCCCCCCCCCCTCCCTCCCTCCCTCCCTCCCCCTCCCCCTCCCTCCCTCCCCCCCCTCCCTCCCTCCCTCCCTCCCCCCCCTCCTCCCTCCCTCCCTCCCCCCCCCTCCTCCTCCCTCCCTCCCTCCCCCCCCCCCTGGATGTGCATTTAGAGAAATTAGATGTCCTTCATTACGGCGTGCTGAAATCGAGTCCGAGTCACTACCGGAGGACCGAGGAGGCGGAAATTAGAGACATGAGAAAGGGCTCTTGAGAACTTTGTAGTATCCTTCAGTTGTCTAGTCAGTGAGATCTTAATGATTATTCCATTTTTCCTTTCAGGCACTTTTGTGGCCAGCCATAATCTCATGAGGTCTTTCGGTGTGACCTCACAAAGAGAAGGGTTCAGTAAGTGTGTGTGTGTGTGTGTGTGTGTGTGTGTGTGTGTGTGTGTGTGTGTGTGTGTGTGTGTGTGTGTGTGTGTGTGTGTGTGTGTGTGTGTGTGTGTGTGTGTGTGTGTGTGTGTGTGTGTGTGTGTGTGTGTGTGTGTGTGTGTGTGTGTGTGTGTGTGTGTGTGTGTGTGTGTGTGTGTGTGTGTGTGTGTGTGTGTGTGTGTGTGTGTGTGTGTGTGTGTGTGTGTGTGTGTGTGTGTGTGTGTGTGTGTGTGTGTGTGTGTGTGTGTGTGTGTGTGTGTGTGTGTGTGTGTGTGTGTGTGTGTGTGTGTGCTCTCATTCAGCAGGAACATGAACTACTCATTATTCACAATCAATAGTGGTTTGTTTATCATTAGACAAAAGAGGAGAAACACTCAAGAGAATATACGTTTTTTGTATTAAGCCAAATGTTATTTAAAGTATCCTTTTAATACTTATCATCCTTATGTTCAGTCTGGGCCTTACTTGTAAATAGAACTCAAAACTAAAATTATTTTAAATAGAAGCTTAAGGGTTGTTGAGAACAATCATTTTCATTCTTTCACATTTTAAGGTTAACCATTAAATACCATTCTGACTTTATAGATGGAGCGATATATAAAAATCACACGTGTCCTTTACAACAAAAGTAAAGAAAATACATTTTCTTCAGATTTTCTCTCATCTTTAATTTAAAAAAGCAGACTGCAGAAGCTGCAATGGCTGGTAATCATAACCAGAGATCTTCCTTATCCTAGAATCATGTTACCTTGAGAGGCAGCTGGATAGGCCATATTGTGATATGACAAGAGAAAGCATGAATCTTGAGATTACACGAGATTAGCTGCTACAGGACAGGTATTGCAGAATCTCTACCGGTGTACTCATTTCTAGCAGTTCTAGGAATATAAGCTCATATCACACAGGTTACAAAGCTTCTAGCCATGGCAACGTAATGGATAGCATTATTTTAATCATGAAAAATGTTAATCCAATTCCACACAATTATGTTCTATCAGTCGCTGATTGTTAATTTTGCACATTTTTCAAATCGTAATGAAGCTGCTTCACCTGGTCTTGGCTTTCAGAGCCAGAATAATGGGAAGGAGCTAGGGCAATACTTCCATTGATCATCTTTCAATGGTATTGTGAAATCATAAATTGAGATATGCAGTTTCTCAATTGCGTCATCTAAAAGGATAATAACAAGCAAATACTAACTACATTTCTCAAAAATAAAATGTCTGTGTAAATAAGGTAATTTTTGTTTATTTTTTCAACTATTTGATCAATCTGATGGGCATGGAGAACGTACTCCCAACACAGTATAAGCAGCTCACCTGTTGTGTTTGTGTGTGCAGAGTATGTCAATGTCAAAGACATCCCTACAGACATGAAGTCCATCACAGACCGGGCGGCTCAGACTCTGCTGTGGACGGAGCTCTTCAGAGGTCAGCTCAGCATGGTCATATTTAAAAATGTCTCCTGTGAAGGTTAATGCATGTACACAGTTAATGTGATCGAATGGAGCTGTTTTCCACAGATATGCTATCTGTCCCTGTGATCTGTGTCAGTTTGACAGATGTTCTCTTCTCATTCAAACATGACTGATTGTGTTGTGATGTCAGGTCTTGGCATGACAATGAGCTACCTGTTTAGAGAGCCCGCCACCCTCAACTACCCGTTTGAGAAGGGGCCCCTGTCCCCCCGCTTCAGAGGAGAACACGCACTGCGCAGGTGAGGACGACCCCCTTGTTTTTTTATTGCAAGGTCATTGTCATCACATTGACTTTCCCCACATGTGCAGGGATAGCCTCCCCCGGTTTCGCAACTGCTAGCTTAAAGCTATGTGCGGCATTCAGGGCATTAGCATAGCAGCAAAGAACTACGTGCTATGTAAAGCTAATGGTATCCCTCTGCACTGCGCTCATTGGGCGGTTAGCTTTTATAATGACCTCCCAACACAAAACGTACTTTTGGAACCAGATGGATTGAATTTGTTAAGCATATTGGTTAATATTGGCCAAAGCTTAGAATTACATGTTTCTTAATTTGTCTTTGGAGTCATAGCACAGTCCATAACAGCTTAACAAAGTCTTTGTGATGATGTTACACCAGGTATCCTTCAGGAGAGGAGCGCTGCATCGCCTGCAAGCTGTGTGAAGCCATTTGCCCTGCACAGGTACACACACACACACACACACACACACACACACACACTCCCAGATCAAAGAATAGCTCTGTCAGTGTGTCTCTTTGTTTCTGACCATGTGTATGTGCAGGCCATCACCATCGAAGCAGAGACTCGTGCTGATGGCAGCAGGAGGACGACTCGCTACGACATCGACATGACCAAATGCATCTACTGCGGCTTCTGTCAGGAGGCGTGTCCTGTGGATGCCATCGTAGAGGTGTGTGTATAATCCTGACGATGTGTGACACACAGGGTGTCAGCATATTTAGACGAATAGACGTGCAGTAAAAACACTTTGTGAGGTCACAGATTGCATGATAGTAGGAAAGTCCTTTAAATAATATTAATAACTTGGATTTATATAGCGCCTTTCACGAAAGCCAAGGACGCTTTAAACAGTCATTGTTTTTGTTTATTAGCATGATATTGATTTGGTATTGAGAATCTTGGAATTTCACTGCTATTGATAAATTAGAATACCTTAATTCGTCCCATAGAGGGGACATTTAAAAGAGGCTCTGCATTTGACCCATCCTAGTGTTAGGAGCAGTGGGCTGCCATTATGTACGGCGCCCGGGGAGCAGTGTAGGGAACGGTGCCTTGCTCAGGGACACCTCGGTAGCACTTGGTCTTTCTGGGACTTGAACCGGTGACATTCTGATTCCCAAGCCAAGTCCCTACGGACACTTCTGGTAACATCACATCCCCTCAGTGATCACAATCAGGAGACACGGTTTTCTTTTCTTTATGTTAATTCCATTCCAAATTAAAGTGAATTTATTGCCATGTCCAAAGGAAAGGGCAGGGTAAACAACAGACTATGGAGGGTAAACAACAGACTATGGAGGGTAAACAACAGACTATGGAGAGTAAACAACAGACTATGGAGGGTAAACAACAGACTATGGAGAGTAAACAACAGACTATGGAGAGTAAACAACAGACTATGGAGAGTAAACAACAGACTATGGAGAGTAAACAACAGACTATGGAGAGTAAACAACAGACTATGGAGGGTAAACAACAGACTATGGAGAGTAAACAACAGACTATGGAGGGTAGTAGAGTAAACAACAGACTATGGAGAGTAAACAACAGACTATGGAGAGTAAACAACAGACTATGGAGGGTAAACAACAGACTATGGAGGGTGAACAACAGACTATGGAGGGAAAATAACAGACTATGGAGGGAAAATAACAGACTATGGAGGGTAAACAACAGACTATGGAGGGTAAACGACAGACTATGGAGGGAAAATAACAGACTATGGAGGGAAAATGACAGACTATGGAAGGAAAACGACAGACTATGGAAGGAAAGTAACAGACTATGGAGGGTAAACAACAGACTATGGAGGGAAAATAACAGACTATGGAGGGAAAATAACAGACTATGGAGGGAAAATAACAGACTATGGAGGGAAAACAACAGACTATGGAGGGAAAACGACAGACTATGGAAGGAAAACGACAGACTATGGAAGGAAAGTAACAGACTATGGAGGGTAAATAACAGACTATGGAGGGTAAACGACAGACTATGGAGGGTAAACGACAGACTATGGAGGGAAAGTAACAGACTATGGAGGGAAAATAACAGACTATGGAGGGTAAACGACAGACTATGGAGGGTAAACGACAGACTATGGAGGGAAAATAACAGACTATGGAGGGTAAACAACAGACTATGGAGGGAAAACAACAGACTATGGAGGGAAAATGACAGACTATGGAAGGAAAACGACAGACTATGGAAGGAAAGTAACAGACTATGGAGGGTAAACAACAGACTATGGAGGGTAAACAACAGACTATGGAGGGAAAATAACAGACTATGGAGGGAAAACAACAGACTATGGAGGGAAAATAACAGACTATGGAGGGAAAATGACAGACTATGGAAGGAAAACGACAGACTATGGAAGGAAAGTAACAGACTATGGAGGGTAAACAACAGACTATGGAGGGAAAATAACAGACTATGGAGGGAAAATAACAGACTATGGAGGGAAAATAACAGACTATGGAGGGAAAACAACAGACTATGGAGGGAAAACGACAGACTATGGAAGGAAAACGACAGACTATGGAAGGAAAGTAACAGACTATGGAGGGTAAATAACAGACTATGGAGGGTAAACGACAGACTATGGAGGGTAAACGACAGACTATGGAGGGAAAGTAACAGACTATGGAGGGAAAATAACAGACTATGGAGGGTAAACGACAGACTATGGAGGGTAAACGACAGACTATGGAGGGAAAATAACAGACTATGGAGGGTAAACAACAGACTATGGAGGGAAAACAACAGACTATGGAGGGAAAATGACAGACTATGGAAGGAAAACGACAGACTATGGAAGGAAAGTAACAGACTATGGAGGGTAAACAACAGACTATGGAGGGTAAACAACAGACTATGGAGGGAAAATAACAGACTATGGAGGGAAAACAACAGACTATGGAGGGAAAACAACAGACTATGGAGGGAAAATGACAGACTATGGAAGGAAAACGACAGACTATGGAAGGAAAGTAACAGACTATGGAGGGTAAACGACAGACTATGGAAGGAAAATAACAGACTATGGAGGGAAAATAACAGACTATGGAGGGAAAATAACAGACTATGGAGGGAAAACAACAGACTATGGAGGGAAGATAACAGACTATGGAAGGAAAACGACAGACTATGGAAGGAAAGTAACAGACTATGGAGGGTAAACGACAGACTATGGAAGGAAAGTAACAGACTATGGAGGGTAAACAACAGACTATGGAAGGAAAGTAACAGACTATGGAGGGTAAACAACAGACTATGGAAGGAAAGTAACAGACTATGGAGGGTAAACGACAGACTATGGAGGGAAAATAACAGACTATGGAGGGAAAACAACAGACTATGGAGGGAAAATAACAGACTATGGAAGGAAAACGACAGACTATGGAAGGAAAGTAACAGACTATGGAGAGTAAACAACAGACTATGGAGGGTAAACAACAGACTATGGAGGGTAAACAACAGACTATGGAGGGTAAACGACAGACTATGGAGGGTAATTGTCCCAAATTGACAACTAGGGTTGGGTACCGAACTCCGGTTCCGATACGGGGCGGGGCGGGAAATGTAGCGAGCACAAGACCAGGGTTGGGAAGCAAAACCCGGTTCCAAATAAGAACAAATAATAATTGTCCAGTACGGGGATTAATAAGAGTTGTTAGGACAGGAGTCTCTCGCTCTCTCTTTCTCAATGAATTCAATTCAATATGCTTTATTGGCATGAATGTCAGGGGAACAATATTGCCAAAGCGTCAAGGATAATACAATTCAATAGTGAAATGATCAGAAAAAGAAAAAAAATTCATTCATTAGGTAAACTAAAGTAGATAAATATATGTAAATAAAACAATAAGCTTTGTGTGTACCTCTCGCTCTCTCTCTCGCTCTCTCTATCTACAGCTCGTTAAACAGCTTCATCTTTATCAACCTATCTTATGTTCTTTCTCTAACACGTAATGAAAGTTATTAGTTTTAGCGTTTTAGCTCCTTTGTTGTTATTATTGACCACCATTACCTCTATGAAGTAAAGCAGCCTCCCTGTCTGTGTCCTTGCGCTGTCCTCACATCCCCGGACTGTGAGACAGACTCGGAGGAGCACAGGGATGTCAGTATTGTTTATGAAGCAGGGTATAGAAAGTACATTCTTTAAATGAAAATACTTTTTATTTACTTTAACAACCAGTGAAGCAGTTGGGCATCTGTCAGATATGTATTGCAGGACATGTGTTGGACAGACTGTTTGGTTGGACGTTGTGTCCCACAGGCAGGTTGCATTGTAACATCAGAGGAGGTTGTACATTCTCAAATTGCACCACTGCAGAGATGATTTGTATATAATTGTATTCAATAACAACAACCAAATTAAAGTGTATGAAGTGAGTTGTAAATATCAATACAGATTTAAATGTTTTCATAAATATATTTTTCTCCCAGTGAAATTGACATGGGACTTTTACCCACTCGAAGAACTGAAATCAAAGACCGAAAATAACCATAATCAAAAGCAGATCTGGAATTGTTAAGATCAGAACAATATCCAACCCTAAAAGTCCTTCCCTCTTTTTGTACACATTAAGTCCATAACACTGTATTAGTGTCCTCATCTGTTATTGGAAAGTCCTAACTGGCTGTGAGTGGCACGGTGCGGTTTGAGATGATTTTTAGATATAAAAAAAATGACTTGCATATAAATGAGAGCAACCTATCCGGGTACTTTCCCTCTACCTCATGCATTATGGTTTCATTTCAACCAATAGGGGATGCAGCAGCTGACACTGGGATTTGCTTGGCTTGTCAGTGTATTTTGAAATGCAGCAGCTACAGTCACTACTTTGACTTTTAACATTACAACTGTGTACTTTGATGATTGATGTTAGCCTCGTTAGCATCATTAGCTGTGATGATGTGTTTCCCACAGATGTCATCTATTGAGTGACCAGGTCCCATTGATCTCCGTCCTCTCTGTGGAGCCTGAAGACACAGATATTTTCTTTTACCATTTTCTATCGAAGTAAAAGTAAAGGAATTCATAACTTTGGATCTGTTTTGTTGTTTGACATGCAATACACGAAACAGCAGCTTTTAGTAGGCAGTATAAAAAAGGTTTTCCACTTGGCACCAATTCTTTGTTTTCACCAGAAAGTGGGCAGGGCCGTCATTTTGCCAGGCAGTGACGAAGTGCTATTGTATGACTGTTTAAATGATGGTTTACTGTGATTTTGCATGTTATGGTCCTCATCCTTGCCTCTGACCCCCCTCTCTTCCTTTTATTCCTGCTCCGACCGCTGACTTCTCCCCCCTCCTATTTCTCCAGGGTCCTAATTTTGAGTTTTCCACTGAAACTCACGAAGAACTGCTGTACAACAAGGAGAAGCTCCTCAACAACGGAGACAAGTGGGAGGCAGAGATAGCTGCCAACATACAAGCTGATTACCTTTACCGATAGAACCCCCCCCACACACTCACATATAGAGTATAGTTAGCACTTCATAACACACTCATACATCCATTCTGTACATACTGTAAGAAGACAGACTCGGCTGTGGATGAGCTCAGGGTTGGAATCTAGTTTGCAGAGCATCTTTTATTTCACACCAAACATCACCATGCCAGCCCCTCATGTGTTGAATATACTTTGATATATCTCTGGGTTTACCATGTCATTGTTTAGATTGCATATTTATTATAAAATGGCTCTTTCTGTGTGATACCTCAGCATGGTCCAGTCCTTCATGTGGGTGTCTGGAGCTGTGGCAGTGTCAGTGCTGTACACTGATAACAGACTGCTGATGTCCCATACAAGTATACACAAGTTAGTGTTATGATCTTGGATGTCAGTGCAGAGTTTTTTGGCTGTTTCCACCCTGACTCAAAAAATAAAGTTAAGTGGAAAACATATATTGTGTCGATTGTTCTTCTTTACCTTGCAAAATAAATGTACAACAGTCCACCACATGTAAAGGTCTACAAACTGATCAGACCCCTCCTCTGAGAGCGGGACTGTGACTGCTGCCTCCAGCTGGGTTATGTCATTCATCCGAGCCTTTCATGTCTCAAAGGTCAATGTGTAAAGGTCAATGTTAGGGGGTTACTTAGTGTAAAGTTATCTGATTGGTAAATGAAATTAGTTTAGCTCTACAAAGTACAAGTTACAGAAAAAGCTCAAAGACCTTGACAACTAATTATTTTGATAAACGTATTTGAAAAGTTTGTTTGGTAGAATGAACAAAAATAGGTATTTATCGTCCTAAAATATCACCACAGACTTTGGTAAAGGGAATCTTCTCAAGCTTCTCCTTTCTCGATGGCGAGATAAGAATCTGAGCCGGAGAAAGTGTAATGTACATTTTTTCTAGCTTTTTTTGACAAATAACTCTTTCTTTGAAAAGTCACTGTACATTTCCCACTCAGCAAACAGCAGACTAACGCTAACCTTAACCAAGTTCACCATATCAATGCAAGTTGATGAAATGGCCATGAAATGTTGTGTTCACAGCTTGCTTCAAACTGCTGCACAGTTCTGGAAGCTTCACAGAGATCTGCACCTTTCTACTTCTGTGGTGTTAGTCCGTACACTGTATGTTAAAGTTTACATCTTCAGAAACTCATTTGACCTTCTCTTTAATTTAGTTAGTGGCTGTCATTTTTAGAGGCACAGTTTGGTCTCCCATCATCTTGTTTTTTTCCAAATGTGAAATGACATGAATTACCTGAACAGTAACTACAAAACCTCTGCTATGAGTATTACCATGTGTGAGTGAACTGAAGTGTGGTTTCCTGAGCTGAGCCCCACAGCATCAGCAGAGACCGGTCGAGCTAACCTCGGTCGGTCGGTCACCTGGACTTCAGATTACCTTTCAGTTTGATGTATTCATGTTGTCAGCTTGATTAATAAGCTCATGTTTATTTGTATTTTACAGAATGTTCACACAGTGAAAATGAATATGTTATTTTGAATTGAGCATACTGACAGGTTAAATGATTTCATTGTTGTGATGTAAAGTAATGTTGACGGTGTGTTGAGCTGTTGGATCAGTGTGAGTAGTCTTTCAAACTTCAGCCGGTATGTGACCTCTGGCTCTAGGATCAATAAGACACTGGACCTGCTGTATGCCACACCGGAGTACTTTTCCCACAATAGTTCATCAGAACTACGATATATTTGCGTTCACACCAAAAAGCCCCAGGAACTAAAGTAGTTCAAATTAGTTCATCTGACCCGCTTTTCAGTCCCTGCTAGAGAGCAGGGACTGTTGTGGGAGAAAATAGTTCATACGTCTGATTGGCTGTGCGGAATGCAAACAACGCCCCGTTTAACTCTAGAATCTTTTTTGAAGGCCGCCATTGTATTTGCTCGCATTAAGCTCAGCACAGCGCACCAACGAGTGGATTACTTTTGTGAAAGCAGTTATTATGGCAACACTAAATAAATCATCGGAGCGGTGGAGTGATGAGGATGTGTCGGCGCTTCTGGCTATTTACTCGGAGGACGCGAAGCGCCGCATTCAGAAGCTTCTACTGAATGCAGTTTCCGTGGTTCAGCAAAGTTAGCAGACCTGGCAAAGTCATGTCGGGACGAAGGTAAACTGAAATACATGCACTGCACTGTTTTAATCTGCACAATACTGGTCTCAGATGTACTTTTATTTGCTCAGTAGATCGAGCTAGCCATGCTAGAACTGGCTAACAGGTCCAAGCTGGCTAACAACATCTAGCTAGCTAGCTATTCTCAGCCGTGCCCGCTATGAACACGTTTTGACTTGTGAATAAGTGTGCAATCTTCTGTAATTGCTTCACTAACTCATGGCACTAATCGTGTGTTTCAGGCGAGGTGTTTCTCTCTGGATTGGAAACTAGTTAGCTTTTCCCTCCGGTATAAAACGATAATATAACGTTAGCAATTAGCATGCTAGCTGGACATAATGCTACCTGTAACAATACATTGTAGTTGCTATAATTTCATCATTTGCAACATTCATTCCACATGTTAATGGTAAAAGCTTAAACAGTTGATTACCTGCATGCCACAAAGACTAATGTTCTAATATTTTGCACATTTAAGCAAAAATGTAATTGAAATTCTATTTATTTTTCCTTTTTTTTATTGATTGTTATAATTGTACTCAGCCATGTTATGTTAGATGTCAATCCACTTACACTGTTACTACTCTGGCCTTGAAAGAAGGCTACGCATCTAACTGATGTCCACTAATCCCTATAAAACAAAGTTCAAGCATACATTAAGCACAAAACAATAAATAAGGGCACTTTGATATTTATTTGATATTATTTGATCCTATCTTATCTTCTACTTTACACCTGCATTTTGTACACTGTCCCTGCCTGCACCATCTCCAATGTTGTCTCTGTTGACAACCTACTAGGCGATTAAACTGATCTTGTATCTTGCTTATTTCTCCTTAGGAAAGCGGGCATCATGGCGATGGACCGCCGTGCCATGGTCAGCAAGGAGAATGAGGACCTGCGTGCCAAGGAGATGCACGACGAACGGCTGCTGCATTCACACAAGGCCCAGGAATCGGACGACCAGCTGCTCATGGTGATGCAGCGCCATGCTGACTCAGTGTACCTTTCAGGCTGGGCTTCTGGCAGTGCTAAGCGAGCTGATTAAATCCAACAGGCCTTCAATAAAAAAATAAAGAAATACTTGTCGTCGTTGATAAACTGTACAATGACTTGTTGGGAGGCATGTGGTGCAGTGGTCTGGTGCGTTGGTGTTCGGATCAGGGGAGCACAGGTTCAAAACCCACTGCAGTCAGCATGTCGTTGTGTCACTGGGCAAGACACTTCACCCCAAATTGCCTACACCTGGGACAGTTCATTTTGTATTATTGTGATTATATATATATGCCACTGTTATTAATACTGACACTTCACTTTGCACTAAGGTGTGTCTGCTGAGCCTACCTATTGTTATTATATATATATATATATATATATATATATATATATATATGTTTTGATACTACTGACACTTTATTTGATATTGAAAATGTTAACTTCTATTTACATGCATACAACACACCTGGGACAGCGTGATGCTGTTGATATTGATATTGTCTTGAGTGTGCAATAAAAGAGAACCTACATGGCGATTAAACAGATCCTGCATCTTGCTTATTTCTCCTCTGACACTTTATCTTTACAGTGACCTGTGTAGCATCCTATACATCACATGTAAGTGATTATTCTGATACCATCATGTTTCATCGGTTATAAACTGGCGAAGCTTTATTTATTGTGGCTTTCAAAAAGATAATTTCATTGTATTTCAAAATGGCGTCCAACACAAGCACTATTTATTTATAGAAAGAGAAATGGTTAAGTTATTACCAGTGTTGTGAGTTCAATATTTTTAATTAATTATAGTAAGGGAACATCTTAGGAGTTAGTGTAGTGAGTTTCAGAGCAGTGTAATAATTATTTGACCTAAAACTAAATGTTTTTATGAATGTCCTCTGAGGAGGACATGGGGATTTGCCAACTTTTGATTTCCCCCATTTTACACGACACAAATGGAGGCCACTATGGGCCAAAACTAACACGTAGGTTTCTGTAGGGTTCATGGCAGACGGATGCAGTTGCTCTCAGGAGGATATATAATAAAGGTGTGTTAGCTGCTGAGCCTATTTAGTGTGCATACGACACACCTGGCACAGTTTATTCATTTCACGCGTGCGTGCATGTCGTCGTCCAATCCTTTTGTCAATCCTTCTTAACCGCCTTCGCTTCCGAATCAGCATTGCTATTGCATTTGACTGATCGACGATCTGTATTTGTGTTTGCTTAAAGGAAACCTATCATGCTATATTTAAATGATATATTGTAGGGCCATACCTATATAAGGTATATTTATACGTTTCTGTTTTCAAAATACCAAACAGATCATGCATTTTAGCCATGCCTCATTTCGCTCTATGTGCTGTTTGCTGTCTACGGGTCTGATTCTGCTGACCACGCCCCCCTGCAGGAGAGGGGAGCCGTGCTCTGATCAGCTGCTGGGCTGTCAGAAGAGGGGGAGAAAAAGAGATCTCCGTGTTTTATTATATAGAGTCGTTATTCATTTGTTTTAAAGCTCAATAAATAACAAAGAAGACCTTTGACCGGCACTTTTCAAATTTTGTCCAGAAGATTTAAACTTTAACGGACATCTTGACCGGCGAAACAAACTGAAACTGAAACTCTGCCGCACGGTCCCCTCGTTCCTTGGAAGAGGCGTAGAGAGGTGGGTGTTTGTCATCTGCTGGTGGACTAACCGGAGAGAATTACAGTGCTTGCCTCGACGGGGAGGGATTGCATTGCAGCGGGAGCAAACGCTTGCCTCGGGGAGGGAGAAAGAAAGCCACAGCGGAGAATAAACACAAGGGTAACCATGGTAACCAAGTCTTCTTCACTGCTTTTGTGGCAGACTACAGCGCCACTTACAGGCCTGGCATATGTACTACAGCGTCTCCAGCGCTTTCGAACGGCAATGGCCGTGGCTGTCTCCTCCTGATTGGTGGAGTTGACCCAATAGCCGTAGCGCCACCGTCCTGACGTCAGGACAGTGTTCAAATCTGGATCAGTTTTTATCAGATCTGTTGCAGCCCCTTTTTTAGAGATTTGGGTATGGAGGAAAATAGAGAGGGTTGTGTTTTCTGACACTTGGTGAGTTCCCTGGAACACCGGGGACACATATTCATGTATAAAAGACGTACAAAAGTGCATTTTGCATGATAGGTCCCCTTTAAATAACTCAGACGAAGCTCATGTCTGAGGTCGGAAGGTAAACAGACGCCTCATTTACAGCAAGTGGGTGCGGGAGGTTTTTCTTCTTCTTTTTCTCTCGTTTTTTTGGCGGATTGCAACTTGAAGGTGCATACCGCCACCTACTGTAC